GTGTATTGTGTCATCCATGCACAAGATATGAACAAATGAACAGTCAGTCATTTAAACACTGCTCAATAGTGCTGCCAGTGCTCAAAAACTCCACAGGGTACAAGATGTTTTAGTTGCTTAAATATAACCTTAACCACATTGAACAGCCACTTTAATAGTCACACCTGTACACCTGTGTGCACTTCAATGCAACACTTCCACTTCCAAATTGTTGTTTGTCCAATACACTGATTTATGACTAAGTATCAGCAAAAAAAACCAAAACAAAAACAAAACCAAAATCTGACTGAGCTGCATGCGTTGCTGTAGACTATTGATCTTATTTTAACATTGCATTTTAGGCAACTCTGACGACCTGCTTTGTTTTTATCTCAGAAGGTGTTGGTGCCTTCATGGCAGATTATTATATGCATAGAGTAAGTACAAATGTGTGCCATGCCAAGCCCTGCGGTTACAGAGGGGCCTCTCTGGTCCCCAGGGTCTTAAACCCTGTCTACTAGCACACCCCCATTTAAATTTAACAGCTGCTGCAACCTTCTCGTTTACCTTTTTCCTGGCTCTTGTTAAGAAATTTCCTTGCCTTCACCCATTTTTCTCTTTTGTTGTATGTTCTCCACCTTCCTCATCTGTCATTTTTCATTTTTGATTGCCTTTCACTCTCTGTCTCTGTTTCTATTGCTGTTGATGGTGGTTACATGGCATGTCTTGATTTTCCCACTCTCATCTCTTCTCCTCACTGCTGTTCTCTCCTTCTATTGGTTTTGTTCAGCTTGGTATTGTTTTTTTTGACTATTCTTTGCCCACAGCCAATGATTCTCAGAGTTTCTGTTGATTATTGCTGTTTTTAATTTTCTCTCTCTCCCTCTCTTTCTTGGTCTCCCCCCATTCCCTGCCTGCAACCCACTGCCTCTTTGTTTCCTGGTAGACAGCAGCAGATTGCAGGCTGGACAGGGCATGTGGGTGTTTGACACTGCACACAAAGCTGAGGTCCATGAACAATGTCTGCCTGTACAAACCTAATTGGATATTTGCACATATACACTTGTACACACCCCTAGACACACATACTGGTAGGTACATGCATTCATATACAGTATACACACACTTTTCCCATATCAGCATTGTCCATCAAAGTGCTACATCTGTAAAATTATAACAGACCAACTAGTAAGTGTCTCTGTAGCTGACAGGCCAGGCACAGAGACAGACTTGCAGATAGAGAGCATACAGAATTATGCTATTACCTGTTTTATGCAGCACAAGAGCAAATCAGTATTTGAATGGTGGAGCCAGTGGAACAAATATTTGGCAAATGGTTGTTTTTTGTTCCGCTTGTATAACAAACTCATTTTATTCACCCTGATGAAGATGACATTGTGGTTCTTCCGTCTCTCTCTCTCTCTCTCTGTTATTTTGCATGGTTTGTATGTGTGCACTATGTAGCAGTCCACACATGCACACATGTGGCTCAGTGGGATCAGTCAGCTTTAATTAGTTCTGATGGGGAACTTGTTTGTATAAGCAGTTGTGGGTACAGCACTTAAAATCAGCAGACAAACAATTCAGCTTATTGGGAAATGGAAGATAAATAGACAAAAAAAGAAGCCTGATTTTTGTCTAAGTGTGTCCACCCTCTTGTCACAGACAAATGATGTTATGCAACACTAGAACTGTAAGTGTAGAGGTCATTGTGGAAATGTTACCAATCAGTTCTCAGTAATACAGCCTGATTTTCAGTTACAGCTCTTAGATGGGCTATGAAACAGAGGTAAACACTAAAACACATAATAAATGTAACTTGAAGAACAACATGATAAATCGTGCCCAAAAACCTGGAACAGAAGTTATTATTCAAGCCACTGATAAATGTGTGTACACTGAGACCTTGTGTCAAGCTTGTAGTTCACTGTATCATTTAAACCATGTGTGTGACAATTGGTGACCATATTAAGACCAATTAAAAAAAAACAAACATTATCGCCTGTTCTTTTGTATGAGGGCCTGAATAGAACAAAACTCATGGAGTTTCTATAAATTTAATGCCTTGCTTATGTACCAGAGCACTCCCTCTTAAATTCACTCTACAACCCTCATGACAATAAGGAAACAATGTAAATACTGTTGATTTGAGGCTAACATAAATCCTGTTCATTATACAGTACATCCAGATTACATAGGAAGCCTTTCTTACTTACTCTCTGAGAAGTCTGCAGCCATTTTGCAGGTTTCATAAAGACATAGCTGAGTCACTTTTTTATGTTTAATGATGAGTCAAGACCAAATATGAGTCCCATGTCCGGATGCGTTAGGTCCTCTGTACTGTTAAAAAAATCTGACTTGAACTGAAACGCTGTGACTTGATGCAATGCTCATCTAATCATCACTTAATCATCAAATAAATTGGGCTGTGCCTGTGACCTTTGTTGAATATATTCATCACCTGATCTGATCAGGCCACACAGACCAATATACCAATAGCGCTCGGAATGTTAGTCAGTATGAGTAAAACACAGCTGTAAATGTTAGAGTTTGTTTGGCTCCTCTGCGGTATTGTGGATTTGCTCCAGCTTATCTTGTATAGCTGCACACACTGCTGCTGTGAATACAGTATACAGATCCACTACATCCACCCACACACAGAAAATTAGACCTTAACAGTCAGGTTTGTTTGATTTGACTGCTCCCAGTCACTATCTTCACCAAAAAAACGTATCTGATGTGTGGCTAAATACGTCTGAGTGGTTTACTGAACATCTTTTTCAGAGGAATGATACTAGCATAGCACACTGATTCACTGTTTAACAGGCAAACCACGCATGTGTGTTGAATAAGCATATGTCTACTTGGCTATTGGCTGATAGTCAACTGACTTGTTTGGTTCCTCAGTGACGAACAGGCGTTTTTTTGCTGGCTAACTGACAGAAAAACAGGCTCTTTTTTCATTTCTTCTTCTGTCTGTGTGCTTTTCTCTCACATGCAGACATTGGTTTCAGGTCATTTCCTGTCTTCTGCCCTCTCTGCATTTCCACTCCTCTGCTCCTCTCCTCCACACCATCTCTCCTCTTCACTCCATCACTTCTATCTTGAAATCCTTGAATGTTGCCTATAATGGCTTCACTTCAGATGTGATCTCTCTCTCCCCATCTCTCTTGGGGTCACAAAGTCTTGTGCTGAAGGCTTCATGTTGAGCTCATTCAAAACGCCCACTGCCTCTCAAGTGAACAAAATACACACAGGATGCATAATGTAGTGCTTAAAAGGAGACAAATGTTCCTACAGCGCCATCCTTAGTCCTTGCTCCTTGGCCCTCCTAGCCGATATAAGAGACTTGGAATATCCCATATCATCAGTCGACCAGAACAATTTCTGGGTTGACCAAGGACCGAGGATATAGGAACGATCTTATAAGAGACATGAGATGTGCCTATAGTGTCCATAAGGCATGTTCACTGTGCACTAAGGAAATATTCATGTGGGATTTCTTTATAATGGCAATATAGCTTTACATAATGCTTTCATTATAAAGATGATGTGTGAGCTCTCCCTCTCTCACACACACACTAACACACTCACACATCCCTTGTGCGCCGCTTCACGAACTTCCCAGAATGCATTTTACACCGAGTCACAGGGGAGGATGAAGTGTTGACAGCGCTCTCTAAACTGCCGCTGCGATGTAGCTGACTGTGTTTTTGTTTGCCATTACAGGGGAAGTCATATGTGTTTGACAAGGTGTTCCCCACCAACACCACCCAGGAACAGGTCTACAGCGCCTGTGCCAAACAGATTGTCAGAGGTGAGTCATGTAAACAGCTTGTTTCACTTGTTTAAGATGCCTGAGCAACAAGAAACCTGTGCAGGAAGCCAACTCACCATGTCCTAGGCATTTCCATATTGTCTTTGTCAGTTTCCACTGCATTCACTGACTGTGTGCAGTATCTTCTGACAAGCAGGGAGAAAACCAATTTCCATGATATAATGGAGCCACACGACCTACAGGTATGAACGATCATAATGCACAGACCGACGAGATCATGCTTGTCATGACACGGCGGGACTGATGCGTCCAGAAGGCCCTGGGTCAAACAAAAGTCTTCTTTCCAATACCCCTCCCTCTGTCTGCATCCCTTTGCGTCCGCTGGCCTCTTTTTTCTTCATTAGCGTCTCATTTTTCTGGCACCTTCAAAGCGAACATGGAACTCTATTGAGCTACTTCTAGATGGAGCACGAAAAAGAAATTGATTTAGCAGGAGAGACTTGAGGAGAGTGTGAGATTACCATGTTGGCTGAGAAAAGGGGAAATAAAAAGGAAAGATGAATTGTACAGTACGGCGCTGGAAAAATTTAGCAAAATTACAGAAGTAGATGAGAAGTGAGATTTAAAATGTCTCAGGGGGAAAAGGGTAATAACGAAGGAAAGCAGGGCCAGAGAAAACTGGTTTGGAGGCACATATTCATGTTTACTTGTTCTTTCCTTTTTGGTCTTTCTGACTGGCTGTTTCTGTATTTTTTGCTGGCCTTTTAAAATTTTTTTAACCTTTCCACTTTTCTCTTTTTCTCTCACACTCCTGCTGCTTTTCATCTCTGTCTTCCCTCTTCGCTGTTTCCCTTTGCAGTGGTGTTTGTTGTGCATTGATCTCATCTCCCACTGTTTTTATTTCCTTTCAGAGACACAATTGTATTCATTGTTCTCTTACGTGTTGCACCACGTTTCAGTCTCACTATGTCCAGTGTGAAGGCAGAGGAAGACACGTCGCTGAGCCTAGATCTGCAAGACAATAAGTAACACGGGACAGGAAGAGAGTAAAAGGGTGCTCCTTGGTCTCAGCTGAGAACCTTTGTGATTAGTCGGTGGTCAGTTAACCTGTGGCAGCTGGCCTTTCAGGGTGATATGTTTTTCTTTATCTGTGTTTGACTTTTACCACAGGGGTTTATTAGACTGTGTCGGCAATATGACATTCAGCAGTGCACTGTTTTATAACCTCAACTTGTGAGGAGGTGTTATTTTCCTACAGCTGCTACTGAATGATATATATATCCCTCACTAAGTGCCACCTGGTGACTTAACACTGCAGGCAGGTGCTGCACAAAGGTTGTTCACCACCAAACCAAGTTAAATACCGTGTACTTCGTAGTGCACACAGGCTTTATAAGGCACAGTTTGATCTGTCTTTGAGCTGCAGAGGTCAAATATATTTGTCTGCCTTCCTGTCTTGTTGTTGATGCACATGTCTGGTTGAAATTTCTGACAGTACACTCTGACCATTGTTCTTCATTTTCCCATTGTTTTTCTTTCTTTCTTTCTTTGCTTCTTCCTATAACATATTTTAGTTTCTTCCTCTTAATTTCAGATGTACTGGGTGGATACAATGGGACTATCTTTGCCTATGGACAGACATCCTCAGGAAAGACACACACCATGGAGGTACAGTATATTACTAAATAATTCAAAAGGTAGACCTCTTGCTGTAGGACACACACAAACACGTTTCTCTGCTTTATATTTTATAGGGTATCTCCTCCTCTGCCCTCATAGACAATGCATTTCCCACATCACTGTCATTGCTCTCTGTCTCTCTTTCCCAGCCTTCTGTGGAGCTAACCTATTTACAGCTCTCTCTGGGAAACAACACTGTTTCTTTTCAAGTCAGAGGCCTCTCTGCTCTCCTTTCTTTTACCATTCGCTCAACTTAATTTTTCCCAGGGTCTGCATTTATCTTACACTTCACTCACCTCTTCTTATCTCACCCTTTTCCTCCTGTAGGGGAACCTTCATGACCCCCAGGCAATGGGAATCATACCCCGCATCGCTGAGGACATATTTGAACATATATTTGCCATGAATGAAAACTTAGAATTCCACATAAAGGTTGGTGTGTATTTCAAATCATGTCTGTCCATCTGTGCAGTTGTTACGCGACATTTTACATGCTCAGCGTTGCTCCTACACACTATGGTGGGAATTCAGCTTGAGCCTCTGTTATAAATCCTCACATGGATATGCTGAGCGGAATCAGATGAGCATCAATAAATCATAAACCACGATAATCCTATAATATGCGTTGTGCTTTTTCAGATTAATGCAGATTATTTTTTTGCACATTTGAATGATATTCAATGTCTTTCCTTTTTATTGCAATAATCAGCTGCCCCATGTTTTTTGCTTTGATGCAGGTATCCTACTTCGAGATCTATATGGATAAAATCCGGGACCTATTGGATGGTGCGTTTACTAAATGAGTCTGTGAAAAAAAAAAACTATTGGCATTTGTAAATACTGTGCTGTACTGTGGTTTTCATTCTTTCAGTTCACAGCTGCAAATTCAAATCCTAATTGCTACAGTACATTTTACTAGGATAGGAACAATTTCCACTTTTTAAAATCCCATTTTTCCCCATAGTTGGTATTACAGAAATCTTATCTAATACTGTCCTCTTCTATCCAGCTGCCAAATTAGAGAATAGAGTGATGGGGAGACAAATATGAACATGCTTGCCTTCAGAGTTTCCTTAGGTTATTACTGTACATCACAGAAATGAGCTTTACAAGCAGCCGTGATTGTTTTTTGCCCTGTGTTTCACATCTTAAGCTGTCTGACCTAGTTCATTGATGAAGGGTGTTGGGGCTCTACTCTCAGAAGAAGACTGCAGATGTAACTCAGTATTAACAATTTATATTTTCTATATAAATCTATATTTCTTTATTTATAGCTAAGTTAATATATAAAAATAAAGTAGAACTGAACATCCTTAAAAATATGGCAGTAAAGCCTGTTGTGGGAAATAGACAAAAACAACATCATCTGTTTTTAAGTATCAGGTCTCTAATCAAGGAGAGGTGAGGTGAGGCACACGTCGTCTGATAAAGTGTAATATCGTTTCTAAACGGTGATGTTAAAATATGGTCCCCAAATCAGCCCCACTTATGGAAGGTCATAAGAAGTGTTTTTATTGTCAAACCATGAGCAGTCATTTCAAACACCCAGCCAGAAAGGACCTCCTGGCAGCTAAAAGTCTGACACAGTGGTTGCCACACCAAAGAGGTCATGTTCTGAGACACTGAGACAAAGATCAGGGTTAATGTCGATTTGGCTTTTTGAGATGGAGAGCATTCACAGCAATGAAAAGACTCAGAGTTAATTCAAATGGGCTGTTCTTCCTTGTGGATGCTTTAGCATCTAAAGCTCATGTGTTTGTTTGTTTTGGTAACAGTAGTGCGCTCACAAGGTTATGATTTTGCCTTTGTACTAAATTAATATGATTTTAAATTTGGACTAATTCACGCTTTGTGTAACGGTAACCAGAACATTCTACCTGATTAACACATTTACTCGTTAGTCAGCTAATGCTTCGGACCGGAGGCGACTTCATCTAGGAAACAGGATGTGATAGGACGGGCTAAGAGAGGTTAGGTTATGCTGTCAGTTTGTTTTGAGTTTCACTAGAACCTAGAGGCTGAAAGAAATTAGGTACAGCAGCTTTAAAAATACTGAGGCTTGTATAGCATCTTATTTTGCTATTATGTAAAGAACAGTATGGTTTTTTTTGTAATTATTATTGTGTCTTTTTCACTTCTGAAACCAAACCAGTGTCCTTGGTTGGTAATGAGTTATGATAATAGCATGAAAGCTCAAGTAAAATAATAAAATAAAAAGGCCACAGTGCCTTTGTTCTGCTTATCTGATTCAGACAATAAAGCTTTGTGGTTTTGCAGCATCACACACATAAGCACCACAACATTGCATTTCATAGTCTTATCAATGAGAAATATAACCAGTGTAAAATGATGGAGAGGCCTGGACAGAGAGCTGTAGGCAGCAACCTGTGATTATATCTCTAATGGAGCCAGAGACAGTGGTGAGAGCCTACATCTGTATGCAGGGGAGTTCTCGGTAGCTGTGGAAATTTAAGTTGTGGAACAAAAACAACTACGATGAATCGAGCCAGCACAGAGAACAACACCCTGTGGAGGAATCTGCGAAGAGAAAAAGTGACTATAGGGTGATAAAACATGCAAGAACACATGCACACACAGCCAATCTAAAAGAACTATACAGCATGGCAATCCTAACAAAGTTCATTAACAATGACAAGATATGATTTTCAAAACTCCCTGTGACGTTGGCAAACATGGTTCACTTACATCACAAAACACTGAGAGTTAGAGCCACAAGTATTTTTTTACACATTATCCAAACATTTACACACATTTACATGCAGATGCTCAATTGCACAAACACACACACACACACACACACACACAATGTTTTGGGTAAAGCAGTGACCTTTCTCCTTATTTTCCACCCACCCCAGTGACAAAAACCAACCTGTCAGTGCATGAAGACAAACACAGAGTTCCTTATGTAAAGGTGAGTTAACTGTACCCCAGAGACTGAACAAACTTGTTTTCCAAATTGTCAAAATTTTGCTTTTAATATTTAAGGATGCACTGTTAAGGTAAATGGCAATCTTTGGACATATCTTTATACTTTTATGTGTCTGTATTTAAGCAGACATAAATAGGGTAACAATTTAACATAAATGTGCATATGTGAGCATTCATTTGAGATACAATATGCATGTGTGCACCATGTAGATAGATGGTTATATGTTCTCTTTATTGCACAAATGAGCATGTGCATGTGTTTCTTTCACTAAGGGTTGCACTGAACGATTTGTTACAAGTCCTGAGGAGGTGATGGATGTGATAGATGAAGGAAAGGTCAACCGTCATGTAGCTGTCACCAGTGAGTCACTCTTCTGATATT